GATGATGATGATTGCGAAGGGAGGATTACTTGGAACATTGGCCATCACTGAATATAATGAAGGTTTTCTTCTCGTTATATTATAATTAAAACAGCTGGTCACTTTGAAGAGTAGGTAAGGAAATACATTCAGAATTTGATAGGATGGGATCTGATGTAATGAAAACCTTAAAGAAAGGTCCAAAGGTCATCAATATCTGCTGGCTCCCCTGATTTACGGACAAGTCTTCCCTCTGTGCAAAGTTTGATCAAGAAATATTGAATGGACTTCCCTACACTTGTAATATTTGATTAACGGAAAGCTCCCATTTGTAACTCCCAAGGTTGTAGGGAATAATAATTTTGACAGCCCATTTGAGCTAAATTCAACTGTTCCGTTCAACAGAATGATAAACGTTTGCCTTCATACATGAAGGTACCCATGTGTGATTTTGCAAGACATGTATAAAGAAACACCTTTATATAAGACGTGCTCGTATTGTGTACGTATATATACTCGAACCACAAAAAGAAACGTCGCCTTTCAAAATCAAATGGAAAATTTTGTTCTTACAAGGTGGTGTTTGTCTTATGATTGTACCGTTTTGTTAACAAGTTTTTCTAATCCAAATTGACAGTTATTACCAACATCAGTGTGTTTTCTGATTAAAAAAGCATATCGACCAAACGCACCGAAAAAGGCAGACATGGTACAAGGTTCCGTATGGCATTCGTGAAAAATGAAAATGCATGCATATCGTGACAACCCTACCAATCAAATCGAGTCCCAAACTCGCCTGAAATCATTTTTAGTTTTGACACAATTTCCATGCCACGACTTACGAGAGATCAGAGGGAACCAGGTCTGGGTACGATTGCATGCTACCATATAGCAGGGTAGCCAATCATATTAATGTTCATGTTAGGACAATCTACTGACAGCAGGAGTGGTATCAGGTCACTAACAGCATCCAAGACCGTCCACGCAGGGCGACCTTCAGTAACATCACAACGTCAGGACCGACAGACTGTGCGCAAACATCTGCAGGATCGCTTCCCCAGAGCGACGGAAACAGCACGCCAGACCATTGCGACTCACAACAGACCCATCCGTGCTGATACAGTGCGTCGGTGTTTACGCGGAAGAAACCTCTGTTGTCACAGATCATATCGCAATCCTGTCATCACCGTTCATCACTGCCGAAACCGACCAAAATGGGCAACTCATTCTCGAAATTGGCGTTATCGACAATTGAGAACTGGGCTTTTATCTCATGAAAGTCGGTATTGTGTTTCGACAGTCGATGGCAGAATGAAAGTATTGTGAAGGCGTTAGAACTGTTTCCAACTCGTGGGTGGTCCAAGCATCATGGTGTTGCGTAAAATCGGTCTGAACCAGTTAGTCGACATCGTGGTGTTCCAGAATCTTGGCCCAAGATGAGGAAATGACGTGACAGGTGTTCGCTATGTTGAGCAAGTCACAAGACCCTACGTTGTACCACATTTTGGATGTTCCAGAAATCACCAGCAAATCTTACAGCAAGACAACGCACATGGCCACACAACCAGAGCAACATTGGACTTCCTGAGACAACATGGTATCCAAAACCTACAATAACCTGCACACACTCCGGATTTAAGTTCAATAGAACACCTTTGGGATCAAAAAATGAATGACCTCCAACCAAGGCCGACAACTGCGGCAGGACTCGATCAGGCATTTCACCCGTGTATGGACCCAAGTGCCTATGGCCTTCATCAACCGGCTTATTCATTCCATGTACAGACGATGCAACGCCTTCATCGATGCCCATGGAGGTCACACACAATACTGACTTTGGGGTATCCTAATAGTACTATTTCTGGTGATTTTGCTTGTGTGATCTCTAAATGTGTTTCCAGAAAAATGTGTTAACCATAAGTGTCAAGTTTGAACTAAATCCTCCGTTTTGATTGTTAAATAGAGTGCATAAAAAGTGTGTGCTTTAAGAAACTGCTATCGATGTGACATTTCTTTTTGTGGTTCAGTATATAATTGAATTACACAAATTCACGTCCAGTGTATGTATTTGTCCGTTTTCTTTCTAAAACCAACAGAATACAAATTATGCTTTGAAATTACATATTTTGAAATTCCATCAGCTCCATCAAATACACTAAAAGGATTTCAGTTTCGACATTACAAATAATAAATATCAACCATCAACAACAACAAGCAACAAATAGCTGTCTCTTATTAACAATAGGTATGGTAATGATTTTGAGTATTTAGGAATTGTTGACACACTAATCTCTGATTTACATCTTCAATGTATTTTATTAATTCTTTTGTATTTTCAGCCATATTTAACTGCATTGGTAGACGGAGGGAAAGAACTACTCCTGGACTGTAAAAGTCAGAATAGTCACAATCCCAAACAATGACCGGAACGAAAAGACGACCCATGTTTACATCTCAAATCTCTTTTCTTTTCGAAATATTTTCGTTCTGCATGGACATTACCTGTTGAAGCTTTGTGCATACATGTGTATATGTTTGTATCTATGAAGAAGTGTGTGTGTCACAGAAAAGCCGTCAATGTATAGTCACAGTCCAACCATTTATATACCGGGGGTCTGTAAAAAGTCGAGTCTTCACTAGATAATCCAATGAGGAATAGGGTCAACCATATCAAGCTTAATCGACTTAGACCACTCACTAATGCAATCTCTTATGAAATGGCTAATGGACATTTCTAACATGTTGTTTTACGGTTTTAACTATATTGAATATATACACAGTAATCACATTCCCATGGAATTTCTCAGTGTGTTATATAAACAAACAATGAATTGTACTTTGCATTGTTTGGTTCCTTCCACACATTCGAGCTTACACAAATGTGAATATGTTTGTAATCTACTGTTTCTCTGACTGTCTGTACCTTTAACCTTGTTGATGAAAGATGGGAGAGATGTTGGCTAGTCCACCCTAAGCCAACCTGCACAAACCAGCTACTTTCATTGTAACTGCCCCACCTTTATATGTCCCATGTAAGCTGATTTGACGTATACATGACATGCCCCTAGCTCTGTAGACTGAATAATCAGCTGTACACTACTAAAATGTCTCCCTGGAACCTTACGACAAACGGGTGTATGTTCTGATTCCATTTTACAGTCTCCAACAACCGGTCTTGCAATATATCTGCCCACTTTCTGTTTCCTCGCCTAATTTTGGTATACTTACACTATATGAATTTAATAAAATGATATCCATTAATAAAACGTATTATAGTTACACTGTTGACAATACATACGTAAGTAGCGACCATGCGTAGAACACAGATGCATGTCGAAAATACATACAATACATACGTAAGTAGCGACCATGCGTAGAACACAGATGCATGTCGAACTTCATATAGCCTTTTATCTTTGCATGGATAGGTAATATATATTCTTCAATGTTTTGTCATTTTCCGAAAGTCATGATTATGTTTTGTTGCAACTATGAATGTCATTTTACTAAAGATTTCTGAAGTGATTACCTCTTGTTTTATTTTAACTTTTCAGAAGTAAACATACATAGCGGCACTACGCGTTTTCATATTTCAGAGAATATCTTCTCCATGTCTGATGGTCTATATAAGAGGCTAAATCATATACAATCGTTTTGTTACTGAACCGTCTGCATAAACCTTCTTGATTTTTTAGATATACCCATTCAATGTGTGTTTAGAGCAACAGAATTGTTCGACAATTTGCACATACCGGTGGTGTCTGGTATGATGCAGAGCAAATCATGACTCAATAATGACTCTTTGAAATCTCTAGAAATAAACGTGTGCGATTGTAAGATTCTGTCCCTATTATAGGCAAGTGTTTACAATCACTGTCAAAAGTGATATAACACGTACATGTAAAAGGCAGGGTTCAAGAACATGGTTAGCCATAGACAATAAGGAAATCTAAAAACATATTTTTGCCACTATTGTTGAACTATCAGTCAAATTGTTGAATTTCTCTCAGATATCCAGCATGACACTTCTTAAAAAATCATTTCAAAGGTATTGAATGGTGTAACTCTGATCGAACAAGTTTTGAAGAAAGTTCACAGGAGACCCTTTGAAATCTCTTTGGAAGAAGCTTTGCATGTTTCCACCTCCAAATTGGTGACACCGAGAAACCAGAGGCTTGAGGTGCAGGAATATTGCAGACATCATAGAGGCAAAATTGCCTCTGTTCATAAATCGAACTTAAAACAATATAAACAATGTCGCTCTCATGTTTTAATGCTAACTTCTTTCATGATATCACAGCATTCGTTTTGTATTGGACATTGTTCTAATGATGTTTATATGTATATATAGATTGGCAGAGGACTGTTGCATCTAATGACTCTGTATCGTAAACCAGCGGGCTTATAACTTTGGATACGGTATGTATGCTTTGCACATGACTGGTTTACTAATGCACGTCTAGTTATCTTAAATCAATGTCTTCTTACGTCTTATGAACTTTTACTTCTCTCTCCATTCAGAAGAAAGTTTACTCGTCGCTAGACAATATTGACTAATGGCGTGTTGTCATTGATAATCATATACCTAAAACGTTTTGCTACACTCTCTTCAAGCTGTGTAGCGGGCACGAATGGCCCATTCATGATGTTCAAATCCCCTTTATGGTGCCATGTCTGTCAGCGAAATATTCCAGCTCCCTGATTTCAACTAAGTGGTAAACGTCTGAGATCTGCATCAGGTTGAACATTGCTCCGACAGAATACTGACACGCCAAATCAAGGAAGCATTGAATCCAACTCACTCACCATACAATTCTAACATCAAGACGCATGCGATGGTGACCTTTATGTTGCAGCTGGTGATGTAAGGGTGTCAGCGGAATGCCAGTCACGTAATTATTACCATGACCAAAATTAGGTAATGTTTAACCCGCCCAAGTATCCTGCCAACCTTAATGATCTACAATTACTCTTGTATTTGTTAGTAATCCATTTTGCTGAACACATTCCACACCAGAAGCCTTGAACGTGTTGGGACTGCGTGGACGGATATCCGTCTCGTGCTTAAACATGGATATGGAGTCTGCCAACTCAAGTAACTACATATACGATTATGACTACGACAGTATTATACAGACAACATCATACACGACGGAAATTGTGGTAAACAGCGTTCTACTATACATTGGAGTCTGTACCAACATATGGATGATCTGGTCTCTCTACAAATCATGGAAGACAGGCAGCAGGATGCATTTCTACCTCCTTGCCATTTGTGTTGCTGATTTGCTGGGCATGTGCATCCGAAGCGGTGTCACCATCGGGGTGTATGCAACCGTTGTATGGAGAGGCGGATATTACGGATGTAAACTTTTTACAGGTTTTCAGATGTTTGGAACTACAATGTCCCATCTCATACTTGCGGGATTCAATATCGATAACCTTTTCACCATGATCTTCAGGCGCTCCATCAAGGCGTTGCGTATCGTCTTCCTACTGTTATCCTTTGTAACTACCTTCATTATCAGTGGCGTTAAGGTAAGCACGATTTGAGAATGATATCGTGAAATGTATCTAATTTGCCCTATGCTGTATACAGTGCATAACCCTACGAGGTTGGGAACAGAATAGGAGTTTGACTTTGCACTCTTAAAGATAATTGAAGCATTATTTGCAGTGTTACTAGCGAACCGTTTGAACATTTGGCAAAAGCAACCATCACTTGTTTCGTTTTGTTTTTTTGAAACACGTTGGTTGATTTGAACGTTTAATTACATGTACAATATTAATGGCGAGTGCTCTAAAAGTAATTTTAATATCACCAAATGTTTCTTGAGCTATGTTCAGACTTTCTATCTCGCTTCATTTCAGGCTTACTTCTACCAGCTTATATCTTTGGGGCACAGTAACGAGGCATATTATTGTCATTTGCATTCAGCAGTTACTTATGTGTTAGTACCACTGGCGGATGCGGTCTATTTCTTACTCCCATGTCTAATGATGTTAGTTTTTGGGCTCCCATCTTTGTTTGTGTGGTGCTGTAAAAAAGGTAAACAAAACGGAAATACATTTTTATTCGTGTCTTTCAAAAAAATATTTTCTATGAGTTTGGTACAGTATTGTTATGTTCCATATCTCAAATCTGTAGAGGTATTCAGAATGCATATGGTTATGCTGTTTCACGATATTGCACGGTTATAGAATTGGTCGATCATATAGAAGTTAAACGATCTCTGATATCTCGATACGTCGTTTAAGATAGTGTGATGGTGTGAAGTCAAGATTCACGACAGACTGAGTGGTGTTCTTTTTTTCAGGAACAGTCAGTGTTGAGAATATGACAAGTGATGATGACTCCTCCACCGACGTTCAGTTCATTGGCAGAGATATTGGAATAGTTTTGGCATACGGTATGGATGACTGACCTTGATAAAACAAACTAAAAAGAAGTGGCCTCTTTGGTTTTGTTACTACCGTAACCTTCTTGAAAGTGTTGGTGATAAGGCTGACACAGAATGCGTCCAACATAAAGATATCTGGCATCGCTGTAATTTGTGTATTTCAGTATAGTGAGGGACGGAGTTAGTGAGTATAATGCCACTGTGAAAATCTTGGAGTTATAGCATGGCTAGGTTCAGAGTAACCATTATGGGAGTGGTTTTATGTTTCAATATACATGTATTTATGTTATAGTATGCAAAAATTTAAATGTATTTGAAAGAACACGCAACTAGACAGGATTATAACATACAGATTTTGTTTTGTTACTGCTCGACAGTCTAAAGAACATGCAAATATATTTTCAGATGTGGTATTCCTCCTCTGCAATGCTCCGTTCATTGTGAATTATTGGGTCTTTGGGTAATGTGACGTTTTATTTATCTGAAAACTACTACCTATTACGTAGATATATAATTATCATTTATAAGGAAAACTGTCTGATGAAGATCCGGGTAAAACCTGATCAACAGCAACCCATGCTTGTCTTAAGTCGCGAGTAACAGGGTCAGGTAATCAGGTGATCGGGTATCATGTTTTCGTATCCCTAGTAATTAGATCGATACTCGTGCTGTCTCGACGCGATTATTTACTACAGTCATAGAGGTAAAATGTTGCTGTGTAAAAATTTAATAGACACTCTAGGATAAACAGTATCATGTATATTGGTTGAATGTATGATAGAACCAAGAATAAGTTACATTTATAGAAGAAACAGCAGGTCTTTGGTCTGAAAGAAAACTTTAAAAACAACCGTCAATGTATATCGTCATTGTTGATGAAGAAAAACACATAATTTAGTTGGATTTATCGTTATAAGAGACACAAGATTCGGTGATGTCAAGGAAAATATTCTGATGTAACGGCAAACGTACGAGATATAAATCTGAAAATATCAAAGTCAATGATGCCTATTTCAAAACCTACGTAAACACGTTTAGTAACATGCTACAGTGCCAAAGTCACACATCTTCGAATAAGAGAGTTAGTGAGATGGGCAACCTGTGTGACGACTGAGGTACAGCTGCTTACAGAGGGAGGAAATCCCGAAGTATGGCAAACCTTTTTCTGAAGGTGGACCCTTGAATACTAAAATCTGTTCATGTTAGAGGAAGGTAGCGTTAGATGACAGCGAGTTGGGTGTGATGCCAAATATAACTCATGCAGGTTGTATCAAGCTCATAGAGGAAGGAATGCCAGAAGTGGCACAAACCAGTGATCAACAGCATGAGCATCGATCTACGCAATTGGGATACGATATAAGTTGTAACATTGTAACGGGGTTTTATGCGTAAAACTAACGAGAGACGCTTACAACACCTTATACCCCGAATCATAATGCTACAATCTCTCATTATGTAAATATAACATCAAAACAAACTGATATGCAATCATATCTTTTACTAACTGCGTACATGAGGTAGGATAATGACATGTGTCAACCTAGTCAGCAAGCCTGACCACCTTATCCCGCTAGTCGCCTTTTACGACAAGCATGGGTTGCTGAAGACCAATTCTAACCCGGTTCTTCACGGGTTTCAAGCTCATAGAGGAAGGAATGCCAGAAGCGATGCATGCCTCAGTCGTTGATCACTGTGGTACAAAACATGAGCACGTGTATGCTCTGACAAACCTTCGTCTGAAGGAGGAACCTTGAATTCCTAAATCGTTTCATGTTAGAAGAAGATAGCGTTGAACATGTCATGGCTTTATATTCGATGATATACGATCATATACAACTTGAAATATGAATTGTTCGGTAACAGCTTTGGCATATTTAAAAACCTCATTAATATAACGTATACGACCAACACATAATTCATTATATGTTGTTTTCATCCAAAGTGTGATTTTAATGTGACATGTTAATATGTATTTTCCATTCCGCACCACAGATTCCATTCAATAATAGTCTATACAGTCTTAGCCTACCTGGAGACTGCAAACCCCTGTCTTAACCCCTTCATATATGGTACGTAACATAAGGAGTATGTTTTGTAACACAGTATTATCTATTTTCGTGTCCTTATTCGCCAGAGGGATACACGTATTTTAAAATATATCTTAAGAGAAAATATTTACGTTTAGTCAATTTTTCGCCTGAAATACATTCAAAAATTCAATGTAATCGACAAATTGCTTGACCGAAAGGATGTTACAAATCGAAACATTTAAACAAGTTGAAAGCTTCAAGGAGGCCTTGCATGAGTCAGAGTCGTGTGGCACTCTTATTATTACTATATCTATGCTCACCATGTTAATTATCCAATCCTTAAGTAATGTCACTGAGATGGTGTTACTGGGAGAGGATCACTTGGGGCATTGACCATCAGTGGAAAATATGGTGCTTTTATGTTCGTTAGAAGCATAATTAGAGTTGATCCAAAGTTCCCCAACAGCTACATGCACCAATTTATGCCTAATCTCCCCACTGTGCAAAGTTTGATCAAAGAATATGGACTGGTCTTTGACTTGTAATATACTACTCACACTTTGCTAAGGATCACAAAAAATCGCAACTTTAATTAAACATAGATAGGAAAACAGCCGCTTTAAGCTAACCGTATCCACCTGATACAGTAACCGTAAAAATGGTTTTCGTGGCACCAACCAACCATTTTGCAAATCATGGCACGGCTCATTGATAAGTACACAATACCTGTCAAAAGCAGGTAGGGGATCCACAAGATGCAGTGGCATACTGAAAGCTTGGATCCATGTTACAACAGGCTTAGATATTTAAACCAAATTTGACACCACATCATAGTTTTCTGCTGAACCAATGATTTGATCCTCAGCAAAGTGGCACCCGTGAAGAGCCACCTCCTCGTGGTGCGTGCTGGGTAACGCTAAGCGCTCTTCAACCTCTTGTTGTGGACCCGGGGGTATATTTGGTCCACCAACCCGTTTGCCGTTTGCCCTGTGTCAGTAGAGGACGGGGGTCTGGCGGTTGAGGGCACTGGTTCCAGGAACAGCGTTCCTTTGCCCAACACACTCCAACGCTCCTTACTTCACCTAGACGGGTGGTAGAACTGGCCCGGTTCTATCAATCAATTTTCTAACCATTCAAACAGAATGATTAGCGTAACAAACACATATACACAAGCACGCACGCACGCACACGTAGAATTTAGTTACAAAGGAGAATTTTTTCACTTCTTACGAAGATGTATTTTTGGCAACACTATATATGGTAGTAATATTGAATATTTATAAATCGTTGACACAATAATCTGTTATATACATCTTCAATGTATTTTATGAATTCTTTTGTATTTTCAGCCATATTCAGCTGCATTGGTAGACGGAGGGAAAGAACTTCTCCTGGACTGTAAAGGTCAGAATGGGCACAATCCCAAACAATGACCGGAACGAAATGACGACCGATGTTTACATCTCAAATCTCCTTTCTCTTTGTGGAACCTCTTGTATAGCCCTGATATATATATTCATTCCGATAGAACATTACCTATTGAGGCCTTGTACATACATGCGTATCTGTTTGTATCAATGAAGACGTTTGTGCTTCACAGAAAGCAGCCTCCAAAGATGTAACACCGCACAATATATCCCAGCCATATGTAAAAAAATCGAGTCCTGACTAGTTACTTCAATGAGCTACGATGACAAGCTTCATCCAAGTCAGATTACCCGATCCCGTTTGTGATCTCTTACTGAATGGCTAACGGCCGATTCCAACACGGATTTGTACGAGCTTCGATGATGTACAACTACAACTACAATACCCACCATCCCATGGAAGGCTTAGTGTATTAGATCCGTGAAGGTCCGGGTTCGAATATTGATCTTCAGTAACCCATGCTTGTAAGAGGCCGCTAACGGGATCGGGTGGTCAGGCTCACTGACTTGGTTGACACATGTCATCGGTTCCCAATTGCGCAGATTGATGCTCACGCTGTCGATCACTTGACTGTCTGGTCGAGACTCGATTATTTACAGACCGCCGAAATATAGCTGGAACATTGAGTGCGGCGTAAAAGTAAACTCACTCACTCACTTAGTGTGTTACGACACACACACACACAAATTTATTTGCATTGTGATAAAAACATAATTTCTTTTATGGCAACATGTTTGCCTCAAACAGATGTTCATATGTTTTTATTTCACTTTTCCTATCTGTGCTGTGTGTTGATGAAAGATGGTGAAGATGTTGACAAGTGCATCCTGGGCCAACTTACACAAAAAATAACGGCTACTTCTATGATATTTGCCCAAAATTTATATGCCCAACAGGTGTAAGTTTTCTTGACGTATACATGACATGCCCCTCACTTGCAATGTTCTGTATACTGAACGACTCTGTGTCAACATAGTATGATACCACGATAAGGTCTCCATGGAACATTACGACAAACGGTTGTATAAATGTAAACTGATTTCACTTCAACGTCTCTTACAGCTGTTCTTAGCAATATATCTGCATACTATCTGTTTCCTGGCCTTGATTTCGTATACTTACGCTCTATCAAATCAATAAAACAATTAATCAACGAAAAAGGATTACAGTTTTGCTTCTGAAATCACATACAGCATGCATGTCAGTTGTGACCACTTGTAGCGTAGAGATGCATGTTAAATCTGTTCATTCTATTCCTTTTCAGACTGTCAATTAGATTTTATCTTTGCATTGATAGCTATATATTCTTCAAAGATTTGTCCTATTTTGTATTCATGATTACTTTTAGTTATGCTTTGTTACAAAAGCGAGATTTTTCATCTTTGTGTTGCGCTGTTTCAACTTCTCAGAAATAAACATACATAGTTGCACACTGCGTTTTCATATTTCACCGAATGTCTTCTCCATGTTTGGAATATTGCTGGTTGGTTTCTATACTGAACTCAAAGGCAAGCACTTTTCACCTAACACCACGTGTACTAAAATACAACTTGATAAACAAATGTGTTTATGTTAATGGTGGATTGTAAAGTATGAAAATGAAACTAGAAGCACCATTAATGCTGTAGAGTGAGTGAGGAGTGGTAGGGGATGGGCACTACTGACGGTGTGTCATTTCACTGTAGGAGAAGGGAGCGGTGATAGTTCACATGATTGATGAAAACCACGTGTATAGGTAATATGTCGAAAAATTCAAGGTTTGTAATCAAGACTGATGACCCATCGAACAAACGAGCCCAAGGCAGGATGCCCCATACATATGTTTGGGACTTAAAGTATTCCTGATTCACAGAATATAAAAATACTTGTAATCATCATTGAATGACGAATATAACCGTATGACATCTGTATAACTGTATGAATCTAGAAATGTTAACTCATTTTCTATACCGTCGTGACATACGCTACGCATGTTACCCAACAGTTACCTCCCTTTGTTTATATTACAGGCTGGGTACTTCTGTGGTGTTCTTATTTACCCTACGGCTATTACATATTGATAACGCTTTGGTTACCATATTGGCCACGCTATATTTAAATGCGTAATTAAGGATGGTTGGTGTGTATAGTAATACCACTTTTACTTAAGTCGTTGTCTTTTTACAAATGTTTTTCATGTCCATATTTTGAAAAAAACTTTCTCTTCAATAGGTGTATATTTCTTACAACTGTATTGTCTGACTTTATCATGAATCAAATTAGCTATATCGTTTCAAACTCATTATGGCCAACCCAAATGTAATTTCTGCAAATTGCTAGCCCATAAAACAAAACCTAAAGAAGTTATCAAGTTGTGGCGAAAGAAACATTTTTTTCTGTTATATGCTTTCAAGATACACACATACAAACGGAAAATGATACAGATTATAGCAAACTAGTGAAAGAAATATTGGAAGAAACTAAAAAGGAATGTGCTCTGGATAATATTAATACAGGCAACAGTGATGATCTCAATCTAAAGCTAAGCATTTCTGCTGAACTTTTCCTTGAAATTTTTCTTAGGAAAGTAATAGGTAAATCAATTATCTCATATATATCATATTTAAAGAAAACACAAATTGCAAAAATAAATAAACTAGAAAAGGAAATCCAAATGTTAAAGGATGAAATTAGAGAAAACTTTCAAGGTGTAAATGAGGAAAAAATTGCAAAATTAACTAAAAACATGAGCGACCTTAAAATAATACAAGAAGAGGAAGAAAAAGGCAGACAAATAAGAAGCTGAATTCAATTGTATGAGGAGGGGAAAACCCAACCAATTACTTTTCTCATTTGGAAAACAGAAATTAGAAGCACAAGACACCCTCAACACTCCTTCACTTGATAGCTCTTTTGCAAATGATTTTGACAAACTAAGTGAAATAAAGGAGCTGTCTGAAACAGTTAAGGCCATGAAAAATAATAGATCTAGATGGTTTTCCTGTGGAATTTTTAAATAGTTTTGGACAGACCTCAAGTATTGGGTCTACAGATATGTTCAAGAAGTTTTTGATACAAATCAGCTATGTTTTACTATTAACAGAGGTGTCATAACTTGTATTCCAAAAACAAGATAAAGACATCAGATATATGAAAAATTGGCGATATATTTCTCTTTTAAATACCTTGTACAAAATTATATACTCCTGCTTTGCAAACAGACTGAAAAAGACATTAGATACACTGATACATTCTGATCAGACAGGATTTATACCAGGCAGATGCATAGGTAATAATGTGACACTAATGTATGATTTCATGTATGAACTGAAAAAGAAAAAGAAACCAGGCCTCTTGATTCTGATCGACCTCGAGAAAACTTTCGATACTGTCTCAAAAACATTTATTATGAAAGTTCTAAATATATTTGCCTTTGGGCCCAAAATGGAAAAAGTGGATAAATATACTGATGTGGAACGTGTCCTCATGTGTTATCCAAAACGGCTACCTCTCCTCTTTTTTTCCCCAATGATCAGGGTTGTAGACAGGGGGACCCAGTATCGCCATACCTTTATTGCAGAAATTCTAGGTATTATGATAAGAGACAATAAAGACATCAAAGGTATTAAACTCAATAAGGAAGAATATAAATTGGACAATATGCTGATGATACTCAATTATATATTTAGATGGATCTAACAAAAGCTATTTGGATAGGTTCCATGATTGGTAGCAAAGTAAAATTATGTGCAGAACATAGACTAGACTGGCATGAAGGTATGACTGGCATGACTTCAACATCCTTGGTATATATTTTAACCCCAAATTGGAGGATTTATGGGGTAATCAATGCTAGAAAAAGACTAGAAACAATTAATAGAATCCTTGCTATTTGGAAAAAGAGAAAACTAACCTCACATGGGAAAATTACAGTCTTTGGCAGTATCAAGTTTAGTACATATGTTTCTGTGTTACCATCACTCCCAAAGCGATGTCTCAATCAACTGAACAATATGGCAAGAAGGATAAAATCAAGAGAACAACTCTATGTAGAAAATATGAAGAAGGTGGATTAAGAATGACAGATATCAAATCCTTTATAAATGCCCTAAAGTTATCCCGCCTCAGAAGGTATGTGAATAAAACTCACAATCTCAGTTTATTTCCATTTAACAAAATATCTCTTCTTGGTGCACATATTCAGTCATGCAAGGATCGATAACCCATTTTGGAGTGATGTTTTATCTATTTGGAGTAAATATTATAAACAACAACATAAGATAAATACATGTCAGCCAGAAGAAATCTTGGCTGAATCTTTGTGGTTGAATCACCAATTTAGAAATGGTAATTTCTTGATTGAAGGTTGGTTTAACAGTGGTAACCATACAATTAGAGATATATGGGGTAAAAATGTTTTTTTTGTCTTTCAATGAAATATACTGACCCGCAATGAAAACGCATAACTGAATTTGATGTGGAACAAAGCGACAAAAAACAAAGGTTTAGATGCAAAATCATTTTCAGTTTATGACATGGGTAATAAGCAATGATTTTGGTTTGGAAAAAGTTGGATATCAGCAAATGTGAGTGGTACAGATAAAGTCAAACAAGGTCACCCCTGTAAACACTGTCAGTATCTTGTGTGTCCTCCATTCGCCCTGACGCAGGCATTGAGACGTTGGGGCAATGAGTCACAGGCGAGCAATGAAGTCCATGGGAATTTTCCTCCATTCTTGCTGCAAGGCCAGTGTGAGATCTGCGACGTTGGCTGGCGGTGGCTGACGGTGGCTGACGTCGATAAACACGTCTCCCCAGTTCATCCCAGAAATGCTCAATAGGGTTGAGATCTGGTGAATACGCTGGCCAGTCCATCATATTAATTCCAGCTTGCTGAATGAATGCTTGTGTCACCCTGGCGGCATAAGGACGGGCGTTGTCATGTTGGAATGTTAGTGGACGTCGAGGGCGTTGGTGACGGCGCAGCAAAGTGACCA